TAAACTAAAAGTCCATTTTTAATTAGTTTTAATGAAGCTTTATTCCTGTCGTCCCGCCACTTTGTTTTCATAACTCTTTCTGTAAATGCTGAAGTGGCCGGAACGGACAGCAAAAGTGACACTACTTTGAACAGATTTTGGAAATCAGGATGTTCCGTAAATATGGCTTGTCATTTTCTGTGCAAAATTATTTATGTAAAAGTACCCTAAATTTCGAATAATCGCTTACGAAATTACGATGTTTACTTAAGACCTTAAATAAAGTATTTGCGTACTTTATGTGTCTTGTAAAGTATAACGTACGCACAGTCGAAATAGAGTACAACACTTTATAATAAAGTACGGGTGACAACCCTAGTCGTGGGCATCGACGCCCGAACAATATCATCGTTAAGATGAAATCCTTGATTTTCATACGAGACAAGAGCAGTTGCGGCATCCTTATATCGTAATTTACAGCGAATGCAAGCCTTACAGGAAACTAATTTTAAGCCGCTAGGAGATTTGTGTTAGGGGCTTTTACATGAAAGTGCTGCAGGTCCAATTGTTTTCATAGGATATTATTTACGGACAAATATTGTTTCACGAAATAATGATAACTATTATTGGTGCGACGTGTAACTTTTTTGCTCGATTCAGANGATCTCAAAAGAATGCTCGTTGGGAAAAAATTTTCGTCGAATGAAGAGGTGATCGCCGAAACTGAGGCCTATTTTGAAGCAAAGGACAAATCGTACTATAAAAATGGTATCGAAAAGTTGGAGGATCGCTATAATCAGTGCATCACCCTTGAAGGAAATTATGTTGAATAAAAAAACGAATTTTGCAAAAAAAATGTGTTTTACTATTTTAGGCCTGGGACTTTTCAATTGACCTATGTCAATCAGGAAACCTATCCTAACCTAACCTAAACTCATGAAGCATAATACATAACACAAGCCAATCAGGGAATCTTCTGTCACCATAGCCTAACGTAAGGTCAAGGTGCATAACCTTCCCACCTGAGAATATTGGATCATATTTAACACGTCAAAAATTTGGTGGTTTGTAGTAACCGTAAGCGGTTTATCCACTAAAAGCCACGGCTAATATTGAAAATTGTGATTAAACGACAGCAGCATCGATACTCTAATAAGTAGGCCATATAGATAGAGAGAGATAGAGGCTTTTAATTTTATTCTTACAAGTTCATGAATGACAAATTAGTAACGACTTTCGTGGCCAGTAGACGAACTGATGCTGTCTAAAGACCGAAGTCGGTTGGAGTTGTTGAGTAGAATCAACTACAGATGACAGACCCCAATCAGGACAGCATCAGTTAAAACACCCTCTACCGGACCTTATCAATTAGTTAACATTTGCAAAATATCAGTTATGAATCTTCACAGTTTTGTCTATTTTTTGAAACACAAAAACGCTTTCAACAAAGGATAATGGGAGGAATTTAATAATATAGTTACAAGACCGTGAGTGATGATAATATTGATACTTTAGAAAGCAGGAGGGGTTTAAAACCACGCACCACTACCTTTTCTAACACTGATTTTTGAAAAATATCAATCTTAAATTTAATTACAGTTATTGCATTTTTTTATGCTCAAAAACACTATGAAGATTTCTCTTGCAACATATACTTCGTTTACTTTCTGTAACAATGTGACCTTCAGTTTAACCGGCGCAAAGTAGAAAAGAACAGCACTAGGCCAGAAAAGGAAGGAGGCAACTCTCGGCCAAACTCTTAACCGGTGAGGAGCGTATAATCCGTACAGTACTTCACGGAAAAATTGACCATTTTATCCACTACATTTGCATTGCTCATATGTGCTGTTATTGCTACCATTTACTACTGAAAATATCAACGAGATATTTATTTATATTTGAATACATATTTAAAGGCTTTAACGCTTGTTTTCGACTCGCACTACTATTCATGATTGAACAAAACTTTTGGCAGGTACTGTATGATAAAGTATGTTTAATGAACAAGGGTCGAGAGTATAATGAGCTTTTTTCTCCCTACCTACGATTTTGCCAGCGCGCATCCAAGACATTGGAAGGGGCACATCGC